GAGGGAGCCATGTCTTGTTTTTTTAACTTGCAGTGATGTGTGTTTCACAGGAAAGCTGGAGAGCTGTGCTGCTTGTAAAGCAGTTTTGAAATCTACTTAAACCAAGTATTAAACTTGATCAAAAAAGCCCATTTTTGGTGAGGATCACCTCAATGCAACAGTGGGGAATAATAAATCTATATTTGGTAATTTCCCTAATGTTACAGAAGCAGGAATTCAAACCAAATGTTTTTGTCGCCAAAGCTGGTGCCCTTAACCCCGGCGGTAGATGGGATTGAAAGACACCACCCTGACTCTCCGCTCCCCTTGGCCATAACTTTGCAGAGCCCTCCCACCAAGGATGGGGTATACTTTCCTGCCCCATTGATGTGTGCTTGGCCATTTCGCATGACTGGCCAATGAAGTGTTAGAGATTGAGATGCAATCATAAGTCTTAAAAGAGTGTGAGAGGTGTGGGTTGGCGTGGGTGCTCCTGTGATAGCCACATGACATGAGTTCCCCAGGAAGCGGGGGTCCCCCTTCAGCCTGGGCCCCAGAGCAAACACCTGTGGAACAGATCTGAATTTGACCTGAAGCCTGCAGCTAAGTCCTGCAGTGGGCAAGTTGGAATTCTGAGTCTAGAGTCCAGTCAAGCACAGCTGGGTTGCGGTCCACCTGCAGACCCACAAAAACAAAAACAAAAACAACTTGTTATTTTTAGCCATTGAGTTTTGGGATAATTTCTGTAAGCACAGTGTTATTGTAGCAATAGTCAACTAACACAACCACTATTTGATGTCCTCAAAGTATGGTCCTTGGACACCTGCATCCAAATCATCTGAGTACTTGTTAAAAAATGAAGATTACAGGAAAATGATTATTTATGTACACTGACTAAGCAGTTGGATGGGACAATTCAGCAGTAGATATTAAACTTAAGAATATATTCAAATTAACATTGAAGCAATTCCACTTCTGGATCTTTCTCCAACAGAAATCCTTGCAGATGTCCATGAAAAAAGTGCAAGCATGTAAAGTTGTTTGTAACAGTGAGAAACTTGAAGTAATCTAAGTATCCACCAACAGAACAATGATGAAATAAATGATGTTATTTCCACTCTATGGAATATGAAAAAGTAAATCTAAACACACAGACATGGAAATTTCTCTGAGACATCTTGTTGGGTGAAAAGTCAAGGTGCAGAACAATATGCACAGAAGGATTTCATTTATGTAAAAAAAAAAAAAGCCTTGCTTGTGTAGATGTATTCAAAAAAGATTATGAAGACACAAACCAAGTTGATAAGTGATTCCCTTTGGGAAGATATGGTTTGGGAAGGGGTAGGGCATTGCTTTATCTGTAATGTTTTTACACTAACTCGAGAATGTACACATATATGACTTGGGCCATTAAGAAGAAAAATTTTCTGTTTTAAAAAATGTAGGCCAGGCACGGCAGCTCGTGCCTGTGATCCCAGCCCAGCACTTTGGGAGGTTGAAGCAGGAGGATTGCTCGAGCCCAGGAGTTCAAGACCAGCCTGGGCAACTTGGGGAGACCTCCTCTCTACAAAAAATAAAAATTAGTCGGGTGTGGTGGCACGTGCCTATAGACACAGCTGCTCAGAAGGCTCAGGCAGGAGGATCACTGGAGCCCAGGAGGTCGAGATCACAGTGAGCTATGATTGTGTCTCTGCACCCCAGCCTGGGCGACAGAGCAAGACCCTGTTAAAATAAATGTAGATTTCTAGGTTTCACTTAGAATCAGAAGAGTCTAGGAATTTGCACTTAACTAAAATTTCAAGCTGTGTTCTCTTAACTGCCTGATTTAGCAGCGAGCTCAGGGGAAAGCTGCCAGCCAGGGTAAGAACTGCTACCTGGGGTAAGCCAGGGCAGAAGACAAACTGCAGGCTTCCCCTGTGAGCAAGATGTGGAGGGCAACTCTGCCTGAGGGTTCTTCAGTTTTAAGAAAGCCAAAGGAGGCTCTGGAGCCTTCAGCCTCTGGAGAAAGCCCCTGCTGGTTGCTAGGGCGCCCCTGACAGGACATCTCCAACCTACCCTGTGCCCCTCCACTCGCCTGGGGGAGTACATCTGAATCTTGAGTTAGTTACATTTATCAAAGAGGGCATGAGAATCGAAGTAGGGTGTCCTGAAGTGTGGCCAGCTCAGGGAAGGGACACTGGATGTCATTCCACATGGAGACTTTCTCATAATGAAAAGGATGAGGTCAGGACAGGACCAAAGCCAATGGGAGTTTTCAATGTGTTTCTGGAAACGTTTCGTCTATAAAACCAGGGGCTTGCCCTGAAAAACAGTCTCGTATGTTCTTACGTCTGTAATCTTCTGGAACTCTCTGCTGGAGGTCAGGTTCATCAAATCTAACAGGGCAGCACTTCCTGGAAGTGCGAGTGCTAAGGCTCGGGCCTTGCAGCCCCAAACCAAGCAGGACTAGAGCTGTGAGCTGGGGGTGCTCTTTGGGTGTGATAGGAATCAGGCCATCCTGCTCCCAGGACACTTATCACAGGTCACTAGTCCCTGCTGTACCTAGGACTTTCTTTCTCCACCTGGCCTGGCCTGGCTTGGTTGGCTTCTCCAAAAGCTGAAGGGCCCCATGGCCAGGACTGCCCTGGTGCCCTGTGAGAAGGCAGACTTTGCCTCAGCTGTCGGGAGTCTCTCACCCTCCCTAGGCTCAGGGGCTGGACTCACCTCATGACCTAGAACCGCAAGTCCGGCTTCCTTGCACAGAGGGGCGGTCAGGTATTGAGCATCTCTAGGCTGGGAGTGTCGCTGGAACAACACCCCCAGGACCGAGCCCCAGGCACAGGGCTGGGGAGGAGCTGCCAGGCTCACATCTGCAGTCAAGATTCTCATCGGGGAAATTCTTACGTTTGCAAAATGCAGCTAATGTTTCAGGCACTGTCTGCACGAGCAGCTGCTTTCTATTCTTGACGTGGGGCCACGGAATCCTGAACCTGAGTGGACATGTGTCCACACCTAACACAGACGTTCCCTCTCCTGATAAGGCCAAAGCCAGGTGTGCCTGTGTCACCAACAAAGGCAGGGCTCTGCCGGTTCCCGGGTCAACGGTGAAAGTCTTCCAACTCAAGCCTTCCGGATACAAGAGCCAGTTTCAGCAATAGGCATGGGGGGTTTAATCTTAGACTAGAGCAATCTCAACACTTATAAAGAGGCGACAGCCTTTCCACCAGGATAAAAGTTCCAGAAAGTTTTATATTGCAGCACCAAATCCAGAGTTATGGTTCCAATCAATTTAGGAAATAAAATTTATTTGGGTCTGTAAGACTTAGAACTCTTGGCCAAAAATGTGCCCTTTGATCGTCGTCCCTTTAATGTGAAGCATTCTCTAAACACATTTCCATTTTAAAGAACGATGCCTTAGACTGGCACAATGCTCTTTATTGAAGAAGCTCAGATTGTATTTTAGGATTCTGCCCCTTGGATTAAATCCAGTGTAATGTCTGGGTGCCTAATGTGTGCCAGGTTCCTACCCTCAGTGGGCTTGGAGGCGAGGAGAAAAACTCCAGGACATCCACTGACAAGCACGGCAGGGAGCGGTGTGCGCGAACGCCATCAGAGGACCAGAAGACAGCGTGAGGGGTTCTGAGGAGGCAGCCGTCACCAGATGCCTGAGTCAGGTCTCAAGGGATGGATAGCTTTTAAGAAGAGGAGCGAGGACAAAGGAACAGTCCAGGCAAGGGAAAAGGCTGCAGCAGTGCAGAGCATGCTGGCAGAGTTGTGGATAATTTGGTGTAGCCAGGAGATAGGGCAGGGGTGATGGAGGGTCTGACGGGACAGTCGAGGCTGTCGGACAGCAGAGCCAGACTGCAGGGGCTAAACTCCCTCGAATTCACCCAAGTAAAGGGATACTAGACTGCAATGGTTCGGAGGAATCTCACAGAGATGGTGCTCGGGCAGCACAGCTAGACCTCCAGATGTGGGAGCGTGGGCAGTAGCCGTCCCTAGTCACTCTCTCTGGTGGCCCAGAGCCTGCAGCACTGTTTCTCTCTGCAGATCGCGTCCTCTGCTCCCCACAGGGCTGACTCTGGCCCTGACTCAACCTACCCTGTAGGCCAAGCATCCGTCACCACGGCGTCCTGATTCTTGGTCCCAACTTGAAGGAGACAGTGGCCAATGAACTGGCTGTCCTGGTTAGGTGTCTACCCCTTGTATATCAGATGTTCTGGTGGGGAAGGGGGCGGGGGTCAGGTGGTAAAAGCATGGCCTGCTGGGCCCACCCTTCAACAGAGGGTAGAGTGTGTGGGAGAGTTTAAAGAAAGGGGCGTGGGCTGGGCAGGTCCTCTAAACAGGTCTCCTTCCACTAGTGGGGGTCAAGGGGAACCATCACATTTTTTGAGGAGGGAAATGACATAATCAAAGCTGTAATTTTGGAAGATTATTCTCCACCACATGAAGGATAAGACTGAAGATGAAGGGGAAGCTGCCGGCATGTATCAAACATCTACCGTGTGCCACGCACCATGCTAGGTGCTGTGTGCATAGTTTTTCAGTTTTCACAAGAGCCCATTGGACTTATAAGGAAATTGAAAGCTGAGAGGCTTGGAAAAGTGAAGTAACTTGCTCAAAGTCACACAGCTAGTACCGTGTTTCCCTGAAAATAAGACAGGGTCTTACATTTATTTTTCCTCAAGAAGACACCCTAGGGCTTATTTTCAGGAGATGTATTATTGTTTTAAGTATGGTACAACAATCTGCATTTATTCAAATATAGTTTAGTTGTCTTCTTCTGGAACATCATCATAACTCTCCAAACCCCAAATTCCATCCTGAATTTCTTGCAACTCTATTTCCTTTAGAACCATTGGCCCCAATCTCTCATGTCAAGCCATAGAGCTCTTGGGGCAGATGAGAAGGGCTGCTCGTCTTCTTTACCTCTCTGCAACGAAATGCATGGGTTGTGCAGATGCGCTGCGTAGCCACACCCATCACTAGGTCTTATTTTTGTGGTAGGTCTTATATTGTGCAAATGCTTAGAAATCCTGCTAGGGCTTATTTTATGGATAGGTCTTATTTTCGGGGAAACACAGTGGTAGAATTGTGATTTTAACCTAAAATTTGTTCAGACTTGAAATCCTTGCTTTTCCACCACACCCGGCAGGAAATCAGCTGGGATAGCCTGAAGTAGGCGTCCGCAGGGACCTCATGTGCCTCAGATCCGAACTGAACTGAACCCGTCACCTTCTGCCATTTTCTGTTCCTCTTCCATATATCACCATCTGCCCCGCCACCCAAGTGCACGTCTTTATAAATCTCAGTTTCCTTGTCTGTAAAACAGAGATAATAATATGTCCCAAAGGCTGCTGTGAGAATTAACAGAGAGCATCCTCGTGATATTCTTGGCACTGAGCAAGGTGCTTGACTAGGGCTGTCTGCAGAGTTGACAGACAGAGCAATTGATTGGATGTCGGGACCACAGGAGCATGACTTGGAGTTTTATTTGCCTAATACAGGAGCTGACAAACTTTTTCTGAAAAAAGGCCAGGCAGTAAGTATTTTCAGCATTGTAGGTCATGCAGTCTCTATGACAACTACTCAACTTTGCCGTTGTCAGGCAAGATCAGCCATGGAAGAGACAGAAATGAAGGGGTGAGGCTGTGTTCTAAGAAAACTTTATAGACAAAAACAAGCAGTGGCCCACTGGCCCCTAGCGTTGTGTTTTGCTGACTCCTGGTCTTTGTTCTGCCTCCTCCCATGAAGGCGATGCCATGTCTGTTTAGTTCATAGATTTTTCTCTAGGGTCTAGTACAGTGCCTAGCACATAGTAGATACTCCATAAATAGTTGTTAAAGGAATGACTAAAGGACAGGAAGCAAGCAAGTAAGAACAAAAGAAAGTCTGAGAAGAGACAGAGTTTTGGGGACTACCTGGATATTAGCAGAAGGGTTCAGTGTAGGAAACAGAAACTACACTAGGGTTTTTAAGCAAAAAGGGATTTAATATGGGGAACTGCAAATTTGTTGGAAGGGCTGGAAGAGATGGCTCTAGGCTGGGCCTTTGAGGAATGTGGCAAAACCAATCTGCCAAGGGAGGTGTCCCTCTGCCACAATCAGGAAGGTTGGGCTCAGGAAGCTGCCATTGGAACTGGCAATCTCAAGAACACAGTCACTGCAAAACAAGGGCAGAAAGGGGTCAGAAAGCTAGCAACACACGAACTGCCGCCACCAGCTCGTTTGCTAGGCAGAGGCGCCTAGCAACTGCCAACAGACTCTCGACACCCATGAAGCTGCAGAGTGGATATCAGTGGCTCCATGACCTCGCTTCCCAGCAGAAAATAGCCAAAAGCCACAGGAAACTGCTGCCTGCCTTCTACACTTTGTGCAAATATGTCTAATTGGTATACCCTAATTCACAGTCATGATCCTAGTGGTAGGAGAGCCTGGGAAATGTAGTTCTTAACTTCCTGACTCTATAGCTCCAGGAGGCAGCCTAGAAAGATGTGGGAATGCAGTCACACCACAGCGAGCACAGTGGGTACATTCTCCTGATCGACTGTTGCGAAATAACTATTCTAAGCCTTAGTGGCTGAGAACCATAATCATTCATTTTGTTTAGAAATTTGCATTTAGGGCAGAGCTGGGTGGGGACAGCTTGTCTCAGTCTAATGATGAGTCAGCCAGGGTAGTTCAACACGCGCCCCACTGTGGGAGCAAGTGCACGCGGCCACCTGGGAGGCTGAGAGGAGGGCATCCAAAGCCCTCACCCACCGCCCAGCTGGGCTCCTGGGCGACCGCCACCAACTTAGCAGCCACGTGCACGAGCCACTGTGAAAGTGGGTCCGTCAGCCACACCTGAGCTGCCCTGGCTGAGGCCTTGTGGAATGGAGAGGAGTTGTCCCTGATGAGTCCTGCCCAAATGGCAGATTCACCAGCAAAATAAATGACTGTTTCTGTTTCTGCCGCTAAGTTTTGGGGTGGTTTGTTATGTAGTGGGAGATCACAGAACATGCAGGTTGTGCTGAATGGGAAGGAGGGAGGGGAACAGATGGGGTAATCAACAAGAAATGAAGCAACCACAGCCAGAGAGGGGGGTAATGGTTGACCCACGCGTAAGCCAAGTCCACCTCCTCCACACCCCAGCATTCAGATTTACCAGCTTTCTAACTTCGATGCTTCCTGAAAAACAACCAAGTGTGGTTTGGGCTGTGTCTGCCAAGACGGTAGGTCAAAGCTCGGGCTGAATGCTGGAAAAGCCCTTTCTTCTTATAGGTGCTGCTGCCTGGGAACTGCTGTCTCTTCCAGAAACGGCTCCTCAGCAATTTCTGATCACGGGTAAAGATTTAGATTTTGACATTGCAAACTGTCATAAAAAACAAGACTGACTTACTGTGGCTGTGAGTTTTACACAGGGTTCCAGGATAGCTCAGGTGCTTTCAGACTACACGGTTGTCACATGTAGTTGTGCCAGTTGTGTACTGCACAATTCTAGGGGGCACCATTCACATTCTAGTCATTATCCTTTTGCATATTTGTTATAACGATTTTCTGGCAGATGGCAGCAAAGTGTCTTGAGGCAGGGTAGCCTTTTCTATTTGCATAAAGGCGATTTATAGCAAGTGGCAGGAGGCATAGGTACAAAAACTAGTGCCTAATAAATCTTAAACCAGTGGCAGGGGGTAGGGGAGAGATGGAGGGAGTGGGGAGGAGTATTAGGGTTGGGGAAGGCCCTTTTGCTCAGCCAGAATGAGCACCCCAGAGATAAGAAGTGCTGAGATTTGTGGGGTTCAAAGTTCAGTTTCAGGGGCCAGCAAGCTTCTAGAGGAGACAGGAATTTAGTGCAACAAAGGAAGACTGCTTGGGATAAGCAGACAGAAATCAGCCACAGGTTTGTCCTGAAAGGTAGAAATCTGAGAGCTGAATTTAATAAGTAAATAATGACTCTTTGTGGAGAGATGGGGATAAAGAGAGTGAATGAATGCCTAAGTGCAAATTTTATGAATCTAATGGGATTGGGGAGCAGGGGTGATGAGGATGGGAAAAAGACAGGAAGAGAAGTGGACATCAATTGAAATGGGTGTGCCCTCTGGAAGCAAGGGGTTTTGGATCTATGTATGAATTCCACCCCACCTCCAACCCCTCTGGTCCTGAAAATCTACATTAGTCAAGAACAATTATCGTAATTCCTAGCAATAGTGCGGCTTCTGACTGTCAAGGTGGATTACATGATGATGCCTTTTTGTTTCAGACGGCTTGTAGATTACAAAACCTTTACAGTTGGAACAGTGTTCTCCATTTTGCATTTGATTCTGAAACAGAAATCCCAGCCAAGCACAGCTTTTTGTTTTATCTGTGTATCTTCCAAGGTCTCCTTTGGCTGCATGCTTGTTGCTTTTGTTCTTGGCTTGCTGTTTTAAGTATAGCTTTGCTACATTTCCATTTCCCCCCACTATTCAAAAACAAGTACTTATTTGAATCAGAGCAGAAAAATACTGAATAGAATGAAGCATTGCAATCCCCCTCTCAAACACCGTGAGGTCATGGTTTAGTGATAGCAATGACAATGATTAATGCTTTGCACTTTCATTTAGAGACCTTCAGGAATGTATAAACAAATATTTTCCGAAATTCGCAGGTGAGAGGAAGGAGGTGAAGTGGCTCACGAAGGATTGTGCTGATTGCAGCCCGATGCCTCTTCCCCTTCCCAATTATCTCACAAATTATGCTTTGGTGAACAGTCCGGGAGCTGCTCATATTTCAAATCAAACTAAAGTCCACTGAAGTAGGAAAATTATGCCTTTTACATAAATGATGTGGGCAAATTATTATTCAATTTTTAACAGGGCTTTCCCATCACTTTCCTCTGCACAATGTAATACGCTTAATTTACCAGAAAGCATTGTTATTCATTTTCTAATTCTCCAGGCAACTGCTGCCATTTGCTTACTATTTCCTCCCTCTCTGGGAGCTGACAGACCTCCAGGCTCCTTCCAGGGTGGTTTGGGTTCTCTCGCATCTTGCTGAGGCTCAGCTTCCCTCCTGGAATCTTCCTGTGCTCGCCCCTTGGGAGGAGTCTAAAAAAAATGAAAGGATTCACATACTTGGATTTAGTTTCCGAATGACTTCTATGAATCCTTTTGTAAACACACACCAAAGGAAAAAAAGATGAAATCTCTTGCTATTTAGTGATATTTCCCCATAGTATTATGTGTGCTCTTTTCATTAAAAACACTATCTGAATAATACCCATTTCATTTTCTCTTGCTTCCAATTAGCTCCCCATTGATTGCTACACAGCAAGCACTTGATAATTAACTAAAGGAAAAATATCCAGAACAAAACAACAAGCCCACCTTGCATGTGCCAGCGTATACCTTCCTCCATGAATTTACACGGTGCATGATGATTCGAGCAAAATAGCCGGGCTAGTAAATGGAAGGAAAGGAATGACAATGGATTTATAAATAGGAGAAAAACCCCTATTAATTGCTATCAAGAGAGGTAGTGAGGAGTTATTACAAGCCTCTTTCCCAGCAATTCTTTTATCCTCATATTCTATAAATAGCTTTCAAATTACATTCTAGCTGGGACATTGGAGACAACAACCTGCTTAAAATCTTACTCTCTGTCCTTGAATAGTATTATCTACCCTCTATTTAGTAGCCCGCTAATCAGAATAAATAAGCATGTGTGTGTGTGTGTGTGTGTGTGAGAGAGAGAGAGAGAAAGATATGAGAGAGATGAGATGTTTATTGGTGTTTTTCTTTATCTAGACCCATCTGCTGATCACCTTTTATATTTAAAGCATGAGGTAGCCCCTAATGGGGGCTGGAAATCAGAAGGAAACACATCCAAAGGCAGGAAACACTAGCCCCTGCTACTAAGCCATCTTTAAGACCGAGCTCAAGCAGCACCTCCTCCAGGAAGCCTCCCCTGCCCTCTCCCTTCTGAGCCAGGTGTCACTCCTTCGCTAACACCTGTGCTTCCATCCAGCAGAGAGCTTGCTGCAGCTGTATTTATGGGCCTCCACCCTCACTAGACTGTGAATATGGTCTCTCTTTGAGTTTCTGGTGCTAAGCGCAGGGTCTAGCCCATAAGTAAGCAACAAAAATTTGGAGAAGGAATGAACGGTAAGTGCTTACACGTGTGCACAGTCATATCCACCTTCACCCCGTTGCCTTGACCAGCGCTGGAAAGGACTCCTCTTGTCCCCGCTCTGGTTTCCTCCTCCTTGTCCACCGTCTCCATCTTCTCTACTCCCACCCACATCTCGGTGGCACAGGCTGACCTGACCCACCCACTGCCAGGTGGCTCTGGGTGGTTTTCCTCTTCCTTCCCATCATCAACTCCCTCATCTTCTGTCCCTGTCTCAGTCACAGGGCTGTTTGCTGGGTGAAAGGAGATCGGATAAGAGAATCCATATTAACGGGGGCTAATGTGACCTCTCCCAAGTACAGTAATGACACGTGAGCAGTGACGTTTTGTGGACATCGCAGGGCACAGGAACTCCCTGGGTCATGCAGGGGCGTGTCAGGGACACAAGCCGCAGGCTGGCTAACAGTGCACAACCTGATGGTTCAGGAAAATAATTTTATATGAAGAGGAAGATGGATATCTTAGGGAGTAAAATACCAACTTTTCATAAATTACGGAGTTAAAATGAGATCTGTAAAAGTGCTTTACCTAAGACTATGTATCACTTGGTGCCATTTATTTGCTGTCCCCAGGTTCCAAGAAGTACAAGTTTATCCCCACTGGTGTTGGGACAAGCTCTTGGTAAAGGTTCAGGAAGCACCAGTGGTGTTTGCTTTGGGCTACAGATTGGCCCTTCAGATAACAACTGGAAGACTGGTGACCGGGCATTCATAACTGGTAGGGTAGCGCTGCTGGCAGCACTCGGTGAACCCTGTGTGCTCAGCAGGTTCTTAGGCAAGTGAGGGAGACTGTTCACCCCACCATCCACCTAACAGTCCATCCATCTGTCCAGCCGGCATCTGCCATGAACGCATCACTGTTCTAGGTGCAGGAGAATAATGGTGAACAAGTCAGGCAGTTCCTGTTCTCAAGGAGCTCTCAATGTGGCGGGGAAGACACATAAAAAGCAGAGCAGCATTATCAGACGCGTTGTGAGAGAGCAGTAAGTCTTCTGGAGAGGAGCGTCGTGTTCTGGCTGTTGCGGGAGCAGTCGTTTGTCACTCTTGTTAGAGTAGTCCCTGCAACACTGGAAAATCACTTATTTTTATTTTCAGCACTCAGAATTAATTTCTAAAATAAAGGTACCTTTGTCCCTCTATGGGATTCTGAGTATTCTGCATGTTGGGAAAGAATGAGGATGATTTAAGAGTTTATTATGAAAACTTTCTGGAAATACAGGTATATATACATTATGAAGGTCCATTTGATATTTCAAATATATCAAAGATACTGTTTTTTCATTATTTTCTTCTCTGTAGTTGTAATCTATTTTTGAGAATTAAGTAAAAATAAATATATGTATTGATAATTGCTTTAGTAATCTATATCCCCACACAATACCATTTTTAGAGTCAAAGCTTGTTTGACCTTCCTTTCCCCCCCAAAATTAAAGCCAATCTCCTTCCTTCCTTCCCCTTTCCCTCTCTCCCCTTTTCCCTTCCTTCTAGCAAATGTTTCTGACAGCCTAATTGAATTGCAACAGCACTGTATAATATATAGTTGTAAGAAAGCCAACAAAAGTCATCTGAATCTATTAAAATACCTTTCAGGAACAAGCTGACCAAAGGCCATTACATTCAAATACAACTTGTTAGGAAAGTCCTGTCCTGTGAAGTGAGGTTCCTTGTCCTGAGTCATGACAAATAAACAGATAACATCCCTTTTGCAGTGGCTTTAGTATAATTCTCTTCTGCATGTTGCTGAAAACCTTCTTTCAAGACTCATGAAAGAACTATTCCAATTAATACAATATACTATTCTTAAGGCCCTCCTAGGAAATTGCAGATAAAATAGTGCAGCTCCAATGCTACTAGTAAAATCCTCTGGTGCCAACATTTAGCCACAGGAGGATTCTTATCTCTCTCAAGGTGGGTAAACACCCTGTGGTGCTTGTCAAGAACTCTTCAGCAGTGTGGCTATGTTTGAGGGATTAACTGTTCTCATGCAAGCCTCTGGTTCCCCATACACCTTTCTGTGCCAAGAGGTGGGCAGAACCAAATGCATGGTTGGCCCAGGTCTATACCCTGATGCCCTAGAGGACATAACACCCTGTCGCACTGTATCTGCAGGGGCTCTCTGGCCCTCCCAGCCCACCAGTGCGCTGTGAACCAAGCAGCATCAGGGGAGAGTGTAAGCTGCAGAGAGAATGGGGTGAACAGAGCTCCTTTTGTCACAGTTTACAATGTCTGAACTTTGTAAATTATCTTTTCTAATAGATTGATTATTTGATACTTAAAAAGTAAAAAGGCCGGGCGCGGTGGTTCATGACTAATCCTAGCACTCTGGGAGGCTGAGGCAGGCGGTTGGTTCAAGGTCCTTAGTTCAAAACCAGCCTGAGAGGCCGGGTGCAGTGGCTCATGCCTGTAATCCTAGCACTCTGGGAGGCCGAGGCGGGCGGATTGCTCGAGGTCAGGAGTTCAAAACCAGCCTGAGCAAGAGCGAGACCCCGTCTCTACTATAAATAGAAAGGAATTAATTGGCCAACTAATATATATAGAAAAAATTAGCCGGGCATGGTGGTGCATGCCTGTAGTCCCAGCTACTTGGGAGGCTGAGGCAGTAGTATCGCTTGAGTCCAGGAGTTTGAGGTTGCTGTGAGCTAGGCTGACGCCAGGGCACTCACTCTAGCCTGGGCAACAAAGTGAGACTCTGTCTCAAAACAAAACAAAACAACCCCCCACCCCCAAAAAACCAGCCTGAGCAAGAGCAAGAGCCCATCTCTACTAAAAGTAGAAAGAAATTAATTGGCCAACTAAAAATATGTAGAAAAAATTAGCCGGGCATGGTGGCATATGCCTGTAGTCCCAGCTACTTGGGAGGCTGAGGCAGGAGGATCATCTGAGGCCAGGAGTTTGAGGTTGCTGTGAGCTAGGCTGACGCCACGGCACTCTAGCCCAGGCAACAGAGCGAGACTCTGTCTCAAATCAATCAATCAATAAAAAGTAAAAAGACATAGTTTATGAGGAAGCCTCCCTGCCCAGGATGATGTCAGATGCCAGCTCTGCTGAGGGAATGGAGTGAGTGCTCACTCACTACCAGGCTACTAAAGACAAAAACTACCTCGCTGTCACTGTACACTAAGGCGATACTTTTCTCTCTTAGCAAGGGAACTTTCTGGTCAGCAAAGTGTTTCCTCACCCCGAACTTCTACAACCAGCGAGGAGAGAGGCTGCTCCGGAGGTGTTGGGACTCCCTGGAGGTGACGTTCCATTTGCCTGGACTGGTCTACCTCAGGAATGGCTCCTGAAAGCACATTAGCATCTTGGAAGAAGAAGACTGAAAGTTTCTGATTAATTTTTATTCATAGATACTCTCTTAATTTTATTCTGCAACTTTCCCTAAGCATTTCAGAACAGTTCCAGCGTGCTGTTTTTCGTAAGCATGTCCTTGAGTTGACCCAAGTCCATAGTTTTGTTTCATATAAGAGAATCCACAATGAATTCAGTTGATGAGTTAAAGGTTATACTTTGTTTTGAAGAGATAGCTTTTTCTTAAAGAATCTCTGTTTAAAACAGGTTTTTTTCAGATATTTTTTTGAAATGAGTCAAAACATAAACAAAAATCTTCCAGAGAATATTTGCAAGTTATCCAACCTACTGGAGTGTGAGGATTAAAAACAAAGTTGTCTTTAAAAATATCTAGAATGTGTTAACCAATTGCCTGATACTGTATTAATAATTATATGTTATGAGAGCTTTAACATTTTACCAGTTTAGCAATTGGATATTAATGCCAAAAACAATACCATAAAGTTTGGGTCAATCAGAAAATCCCTCTTTGTATCATTTAAAAAAAATATTGGAAAACTTTTCTACATGTTAGGGTTATTTCAACAAAAAAACTGTCCTCCTCGTATGACTCCACCTGACGTCAGTGATTTTAGAATCACAGATCTCGGAGCTGTAGGGCCCTAAGAGTGAATCTCATCCAAGCCCCTCAGTGGCACAGACAGGCCCTGAACACAAGAGATGCCAGGTGGTCCCGCAGCTGAATGGTGACAGAGCCAGGCCTGGACAGTTGGCCTGGGTCCACTCACTGCCCTTTCTACCACACCACATTGTCTCCTTGTGTATCAACTTCATTATAGAAGTAGAGGGACACCCAGAAATGCATATATTGACTCCAGGACAAGAGAGATTCTTGTATTTGTCTCTTTCACTTACAAGTGGGACACAGTAAATTCCAGTTAGAAAAAATGTCTGCTAAATTAAAATGTTAAGGTGTAGCTAATTTTGCTTTAAGAATCTTTGGATTATACAGACAATAGCCTAGCTTTTCTGGGGTGGAGGGAACTCTCCAGATGTTCTGAATGTCTCTGTCATTTGCAAGTCATTGCACCATGGCTGAATTCACCAGGTGGCTCCTTACCATCTGGTGTAGGACAGCTATGTCACAGAACTACCAGGGTACCTTCCATGATTTAAACAAATAAACAAAAAAAAAAATTCAAATGTAAAATGCTCTCTTTTTAATTACTAAATTAAGAAAGTTAAACAATTTAAAAATGTAAACTCACAAATAAATCATAACAAAAAAGGAATTAAGACTTCAGAGGTGCTACTCGGCATTAAAAACTCAATAGAAATAGGATTTCTGATTTGTTGTTGTTAAACATATGTAATTCAAGGTTGGTACAAACAGCAACTAAAAATGTAATACTTTTTTTTGTGCATCCCCATGAAATGTAAAGTAGTGCATAGTTATTCCACTGGAGAACTCTTGGACATATAGAAAGTCATTCATTAGCAGTACAGGACATTCAAAACACTTATTTTACAATGGGAAATGTACAACCCTCCACCCTCACCTTCCCCATAAATTTTAGTTGTATGAGAAAGTTTAGCAGGTTGCCATGACTACAATGCTATGGGTTTTAGACCATTTAAATGTGGTTACAAGGTTTATTAAATAAAAAACGTCTGAAACATTTCAGCATTCATAATTTTATACAAGAAGTTTGTGTGGTATCCATCTTCCAGTTCCCTTGGTAGTATTGGCCATTTGCTTGCTTAAATATGCTTGCTTTTAAGTTTCAAGAACAAACCGCAGTAAGTCGAAGCAAATACTGGTAACAGAACTCTTGAATTCAGCTTGGGGGAAGTTCCTGAAAAGAGTCAAGGTTAACAACCATCTACAGGTACAGTCATGAACCAAAAAAGTGCAACCTAATGAAAAAAAAATCATGCTTTGCAAAAGCCAAAAAAGAGGTCACTGGTTTTCAGAGTAACACCAGTGCTTTGATGTTGATTTTGCAGTAAAATCCTCACTCTGGGTCCTGCAGCTTTGTGGTCTAGGCTGGCCACAGTCTCCACGTTAGCACCCACATTGTATATGTACAGGGACATATATATTATATATATTCATAGTTATAAAAAAGAAAAAAAAAACAAACACCTGTCCTGATTGGTTTTTGTTAAAACATGAAAAAAAATTTTATTGTTTTAGACAAAGAGGCCACTTTTGGAAAATAATACTTTTTTTTTTAGTTGAATCAGGTGAAGACAGAGTTAAAATCACATAGGATTTGCATTTTAAAAAAAGGAAAGCACTAGGATCGTTGGCACTGGAGTAACTATTTACACTGAACAGAGGTCTGGCCTTTTACATAACATCGATAACAATGCATTTTCCAAAGTCTGAGAAATAACAAGGTTCTGCCTCGAATGCTTCACAGAGGAGGTTCGGATTTGGGGACAAGTGTCATTAATGAGGAAGTTCATCAGCTTCAGAGTCACATGCAATCTGATCCTGGACGGTTCTTGCTGCTCAGGGGCAGCTGGCTACGGAATTGAAAGCTAATGGGGAGGGGTGGGGCAGCCTCTGGGACAAGGCCTCTCTCTGCAGGCCCGGGCCTTACAGGTTTTCACCAGGTTGGTACTGCGGCTCTGTCGCGGTAAAGTAGTCTTCCAGGAAGCCCTGCAAGTACTCAAAAGTGGGGCGTTCTTCGGGGTCCTTTTTCCAGCAGTGGATCATGAGCTCATGCAGAGAGATGGGGCAGTCCTGCGGACAGGGCATCCTGTAGCCGCGCTCCACCTGCTCCAGCACCTCCCGGTTGTTCATGCCTGCAAAGACAAGCACAGTGAGCGCGGGCACCTCTGGGCTCCAGGCCTGACTGCGCCCCTGAGACTCCCCTTCTTCTCCTTTGAGTCTGCACGTGGCTGAAATCCGTGGAGGGCCCCCGCCTCACCCAGGAGATGAACCATGCCATACCACTCAGAATTAAAAGAGGAACGTGGCACCGATACGTGCAAAAACCTGGAGGGTGAATCTCAGAAGCGTGAGAAATGAAGGGAGCCAGACACAGAAGACAACATACTGTAGGATTTCATTTACACAAAATTCTAGAAAAGGCACAACTCCATGTAGAGAAGGCAGATCAGTGGTTGTGAGGGGGAGGGGAGGAATGCCTGCCCAGGGGCCGGAGGGAATGTCTGTAGCAGGGGTCAGCAAACTCTTCCTGTCAAGGCCAGATAGTAAATATTTTTGGCTTCATAGGTCACATATGATTTATGTCTTCTTCTTCATTTTACAACCCTTTATTTAAAAACAACAAAACAAAGCCAGGCTGGGAGTCAGATCTGGCCCATGGCTGCAGAATCTGCCAACCCCTGTTCTGTGTCACGTACGTGGTGGTGTGACTGTTGATGTATATCAAAGCTCACTGAATTGCACGCTTAAAATCGTTGGATTTTACTGTATATAAATTACATTTCAATTAGGCTGACAAAAATATATGAATAAAGTAGACAAAAACACCTTCACAGAATGGAAGCACACCGCCCTTGTTTATAGCATTTATAACCTCCATTTATGAACGTCATAAAGCAGTTTTCCTCGTGTCTGGGCAAACTCTTGAAGCCCCACTGTCTGAGATCTGCCATCATGCCGGTGCAGCTCAGCACCGTCTGGCCTGGTGACCCCAAAGTGCCCTGAGGTTTGGAGACTTTGACGGAGGCACGAGGCACCTCCAGGGCCTGTGCTTACCACAACCCCGGCCAGACCATCCATCATGTGAGACCCTCCTGCCCCAGCGTGCTGTCGGACAATACGGGAAATACCACACTCAGGGTGAGGCAAACGGTCTGACCGCTTTCCCAGCTACCGCCAGTCACTATTCTCCAGTTTTCCTTCCCTTTTTCATCGTATCACCTTCGCCATCTCCCCACCAACCCCTGGTATGTTTTCTGGCTGCTTCCTGGCCCCCAAGCCTGTAGTCTGGAATCCTGCCCACCCAAGCCATACAGAATCCTAGATTTCTTCTCCTCTCTCTCAGGGCTGCGACCAGCAGGAGAACGCGGCATATGCACCCAGCTTCCTTAAATTCTGGAGGAGGTGGCGACCTGCTAGCTAGAAACCTGTCAGCCTGGCCAGAGGCACCAGGCCCAGAGCACAACCCTGTCCCCCTGGGCAGGGGCATTCAGACTTTGGGTGTGTTGCCGATCCTCTTTGTCACGTTGTTACTTTTGGAGCTGGGTGTATCCTGGCTCCCCCTGGCTGTCCGCCATTGTCCTATAGGTCACAAGTCCGTCTACACCTTTTTAGGATGCTTTCCTGTTCTCTGCTGTTATAATTTCTTGAGGTGATAACATCCACATGTTATTTACACTGTATTGAAGTTGGCTTTCAACACAAGCATTGCAAAATCACCTTGCAGGTCAGGGTGACCCCTAATTTTAGAGAGAGAGGTTTGGCGAGACAGTCTAGGTCCCTGCCTCCGCGCCACGCATGCCGTGGGAGGTAGAGGTGGCAGCTCTGTGGCCGATTAGCTTAAATCCTCCTCTAACAGCTGAAAACTCGGTGCAGGGTGGGGTGGTTGGGGCGGGGGGGGGGGAGCTGGAAGCACAGGGAGGAACTTTTCCACAGTGCTCTGGACAAACAGGGTAAGGGACACAGGCCAGCACTTCCTTATCCACAATTCCAAATTCCAACAAGCTCTGAAAACCAAAATGTTTTTGTAACTCAGTTGGCAGCAGAACTGATGTGAACTGACCTCATTCGGCTATAAAACCTGAACTGATGTGAGGCTATTTACTGTTTTTATTTCTCTATACATATTGCCCAGAAAGGTTTAGGAAGGAAGAGGGTGTTATCACACACCAGGATTGGCATTCTCCAAAGTGTTCGCTTTGCCGCATATTTTAGTACAGTCCTTTGGGTTTCATAGTATTTCAGAAATCACAGAAATTTCTGCCTGAACCTGCACAAATCTCCCTTGTCCTTGTCCCTGCCAGGAACCTGCAGGAACTGGAGGGAAGACAGGCAGCAGATCTGAACCTCAGAGGTCTGACAGGCCCTTCTGGAGGTGTCTACGACCCCCCAAAACGCCTGCTAATGCTTTATCCTGTCACAGACTCTCCATCCAAAATGGCACCACAGAGTTTAATTAATCACTCTCCTCTGGCTCTGCAGAGCTTATGTCAGTACATGTTTCATTTCATTAAAAAGCAAACTACTCAAATGGAAAGATTTTACTTTTTTTTTTTTTTTTTTAAGTCTTAATTCAATCTCTGCCAATGGAAAGTTTAATTGGCCACTTGGGTCAATCCTATTTTTCCAGTGCTCAGCCCAAGCCTCGGACACAACAGATTTGGCAACATGAACTCAACATGCGGCCTATCTGGAAGGCAGCCTGCTTCCTGGACATTTGGAGCCAGGGGACAGAGTGTAAGCTGGCCTGTGCGGGACACTGGCAGGCCCCTTCTCCCTCTCCACCTCCTTTCCTACCTGCACCCCCCCCCCCCCCCGCCCCCTTCCCCACTCCTTCTCCTTCTCTTCTCAGGCCGCCTTCTCCCCCGATTCCTCAAAGCATGGAGAGCAGATGAAAACAATTCCACGCACAGGGCCAAGTAGAAACATACCAACGACAGCTTTGCCAGAAAAGGGGCTATTCAACAATGCTCTTGGCTGACAATGACAAGCAGAATGGCACTAGCTCTTTTCCTTTTGCAACCATCCATAAGCCAGAACCCACTTTTGGATTGGCTGACCCTTGGACCTGGCACCTTCACAAAGTACCTCTGCAACAATAACTGCACAATCAAGATGGGCACACTCAGCAAGGTGTAGGCTAGTTTTTATTTTACGAACAACAGCTAAATTAAGTGGACTGTGTTAACACAGGTTGAGTATCCCTTATCCAAAATGCTTCAGACCAGAAGTGTTTGGGATTTCAGATTTTGGAATATATGTTTTATACTTATCAGTTCAGCATCCCTAACCCGAAAATCCGAAATGCTCCAATGAGCATTTCCTTTGAGCATCATGTCGGCTCTCAAAAAGTTTCAAATTTTGGTGCATTTCAGATTTTGGATTTTTGGATTAGGAATATTCAACCTTTATCTAAAAAATAGAATTCTCTGCTATAAAAATTTTGAAAATCATGTTTTTTCCTAGAATTTTGTTTTTGGAAAAATGGCTTTTACTCTATACACGACCATAAAGACGGGCCTATTTTGTTTTTACTTTTTAGATGGTTTCATATTTTTTTCCACCTGGGAGGAGAAGGGCAGTGAATGGGAAGGGAATATATAGCATCTTGGGGACCGGAGTGTTCAGGAGAGAGTCTTGAGGGACATGGGGATAGTAGAGAGAAGATTCTTTTTATTGTACTTCCAGCTGAGACAGCGGATGAGAATGCCTGCGAATAGTTTTCTTTTTTCTCCCTTTTTAGTGGGGAGAAGGCCATAGGAAAAAAAAGAAGAGACAGGAACTTTAAAACACAACTGCATGGGCATGTATCAGAGAAATGCTGTCATAGACAGCTTGAGTTTCCAGGTTTCCTAGTGGGAGCTGCAACAGACAGCGTTTTCAACAGGGGCTGCGTGTCCCTGGTTCCCAGCCTCCGTGTCAGAGAGGAGCCTCAGGCTGGGCAGCCAGCAAGCACAGAGACCACCCCTGGGTTTCCTTCCGATCCTCTCCCCTCTGCTCCCAGTTCCAAGGGAGCAACCTGCCCTTCCTGCTCTCTCATGAAAGTCACTCAGGAAAATGCGCCATTGTGGTGGGCCTCTCTCACCAGGCACCACTCCACAGTACTTAAGCCACAAACCGCCTTACTAGCCACTGTGTGGGGGTCTGCCTTCGAATTCCTCTTCCCCAGAGTTGCCACGAAAGCCTCCTGCCACCTTGGATTTTAAGCTTTCAAACATTGCCCTTGATTTCTAGTCGGTCTGCCCAAAATACTGCAGCTAAGATTGTCACAGCCAAGAGGACTATACTCAATTCCTGCCATTATGACTGTATTATCCTTTCTAAATCACACTCCTTTCCAGCACACTCAGAGGTCAAGTCTCCAACTCTCACTTTCAAACCCTCACTCTATATGGTTGCCAACAACGTCTACTCTTACGTATGTGTTTTCTTTTTCCTTCTCTCCTTTTAAACTTTCCTATTCTTCTTCTTGAACTCAGTGGAGACTTCCCTCTTTTTTTTTTTTTTAGATTCTTTAGAGAAGGAATAAAAATCAGTTTCATTGGCAGAGCATTGGATTAGTTGCCACCTCTTGACTTCTGACTTTGCATCCATCTTTCAGCAGGTGACTTGATTTTCCCTGGCCTCAGTTTCTCCATTTGTCAACAAAATACCTCAACATTCACTGTGTTTTCAGCTGTTTGAAAAAACAACTTCTGGCTGGGCACAGTGGTTCACGCCTGTAATCCTAGCACTATGGGAGGCTGCGGCAGGAGGATTGCTTGAGCTCAGAAGTTTGAGACCAGCCTGAGCAAGAATGAGACCCCGTCTCTACTAAAATTAGAAAAAATTAGCTGAGCATGGTGGTATATGCCTATATATGCCGATTGTCCCAGTTACTCGGGGACTACAGGCAGGAGGTCACTTGATCCCAGGAGGTTGAGGTTGCAGTGAGCTAGGCTGATACCATGGCAATCTAGCTGGGGCAACAGAGTGAGACCCTGTCGGAAGGAAGGAAGGAAGGAAGGAGGGAAAGAGGGAGGGAGGGAGGGAGGAAGGGAGGAAGGGAGGAAGGAAGGAAGGAAGGAAGGAAGGAAGGAAGGAAGGAAGGAAGGAAGGAAGGAAGACAAACTGTCTTCTGTGAATGAAAAGTATT